CGACCGAGTCTGTAGGCAATGGCTCACCGAACTCTTCCCACATCCGAGCTTTTCCCTCTGCAACAGCCAAGGCTGCACACCGCTTGGCCTTCTGGTACTCCTCAGCTGCCTCCGGAGTCCCACTAACCAACAAGGCCCAATAGGGCTCCTTCTTCAGCTTGACAGCTTCCCTAACCGTGGCTGAGATCACCGAGATAGTTAAAAAGCTTTGTGGCAGTGGATGAGATTTGCTCAGATTTCCTTAAGGCTCTAGATGTTGTGGGGCTGTCTTGGTTGACACGCCTTTGCAACATCATGTGGACATCGGGGGCAGTGCCACTGGATTGGCAGACTGGGGTGATGGCTCCCCTCTTCAAAAAGAGGGACCAGAGTGTGTGCTCCAATTATAGGGGCATAACTCTCCTTAGCCTCCCTGGTAAGGTCTATTCAGGGGCACTGGAGAAGCGAGTCCGATCGTTGGTCGAACCGCTGATCCAGGAGAAACAATGTGGGTTCCGTCCTGGCCGTGGAACATTGGATCAGCTCTTTACCATCACTAGGGTCCTTGAGGGGTCATGGGAGTTTGCCCATCCAGTCTACGTGTTTTGTGGACTTGGAGAAGACATTTGACCGTGTTGCTCGGGGTACACTGTGGGGGGGTGCTCCGTGAGTATGGGATTGGGGGCCCGTTGATACGGGCTGTTCAGTCCCTATACAAGTGGTGCGAGAGTTTGGTTCACATTGCCGGCAGTAAGTCAGACCCCTTCAGGGTGGGAGTTGGACTTGGCCAGGGCTGCCCGTTGCCACTGATTCTGGTCATAACTTTTATGGACAGAATTTCTCGGTGCAGCCAGGGGGCCAAGGGTTTCCGGTTTGGTGGCCTCAGGATTCCATCTCTGCTCTTTGCAGATGACGTGGTCCTGTTGGCGTCATCGTGCCGTGATCTTCAGCTCTCACTGGAGCAGTTCGCAGTCGAGTATCAAGTGGCTGGGATGAGAATCAGTACCTCCAAATCTGAGGCCACGGTCCTCAGTATAAAAGGGTGGATTGCTCTCTTCAGGTCGAGGATGAGGTTCTGCCTCAAGTGGAGGAGTTCAAGTATCTCTGGATTTTATTCATGAGTGAGGGACGAATGAAGCAAGAGATTGACAGAGGGATTTGTGCAGTATCTGCAGTATTGCGGACTCTGTACTGGACTGTTGTGGTAAAGAGAGAGCTGAGCTGTAAGGCAAAGCTCTCTGTTTACCTGTCGGTCAATGTTCCTACCCTCACCTATGGTCACGAGCTCTGGGTAGTGACTGAAAGAATGAGATCTTGAATACAGGCGGTTGAAATGAGTTTCCTCTGCAGGACAGCTGGACTCATCATTAGAGATAGGGTGAGAAGTTCATTTATCCGTGAAAGACTCAGTAGAACCGCTGCTCCTCCACATCGAGAGGAGCCAGTTGAGGTGGTTCGGGCATCTGGTAAGGATGCTTCCTGGGCGCCTCCCTTGGGAGGTGCTTCGGGCATGTCCGACTGGGAGGAGACCCTGGACATGCTGGAGAGACTACGTCGCTCAGTCAGCCTGGGCACACCTTGGATTCCTCCCAGAAGAGCTGGAAGAGGTGGCTGTGGAAAGAGATGTCTGGACCTCCCTGCTCAAGCTGCTGCCCCCGCGACCCATCTTTAGAATGAGAGGAAGATAATGGATGGATGGAAAATTTGGGACTAAAACACATGATTTTACCCATTTTGTCACATAACTGGTATATTTTTGTTTTGAACTTGGTGTGGCCCAAGTGAAACAGGAAGTGACATCAAAGAACTCCCTGGCCTTTGTACAAAGTCCGTCTCTCCATCTCTTTCTGAGAGCGACTTAAAATCATCTAAAGAAACATCAGATTCTTCACGTCAGTCAGTTTACATGCAGGCGTGTTCCTCTTTGTCACAAAGTCCTTATAACTGCACAAGTGCAAAACTGAAAGTTTTATTTAAAAAAAATTGCAGTATGTTATTATGTTATCTTTCTTTGGGATGGCTGTAGAGCAGTGGTAGGGCAGCTGACCTGGGACCAAAAAGTTGTAGGTTTGATTCCTCACCAAGCTCACATGTTGGTTTATTTTTTTCATTTCATACAATGATGACAATGCAGAACATGTTTACTTTACTTACACCACAGAAATTTGATGTTGCAGACACTAAGAAGTTTATTTTAATTGCATAAATAGGATGGTACTACTTGAACATGTCCAGAAGCATTTAGTGTCTATAACAAAGAAGGGCTTACTGGTCAGAGATGGTTTCCAGACTCACATTGCTGCTTGGTCTCTTCAACAACATCGGTGGTCGAGCCTGCAAAAACAAAAAAACATGATCAAAAAACATCAAACCCGAGGAACTTAGAAGCCACGCCGCCAGAATAATGACTTTTTCTGTGACCTTACTGTTTGGGCTAAAAGGTTACTTTGGATAATTATGATGAACAGTTAATATCTTACCTGTTGTAGACAGCTTGTTTAACAGCTTGGAGAAAGAAACTAAGTCTGAGACTGAGAGTGGATTGATGCAGTTGGAAATTAGCTCCAACCTTTAAGCTTTCTTATCATTCCATGAAAACACTAGTTCACAAACATTTACCTCGGCATTAAATTTGCATTACCCCATTATTTTGGCAGAAATGTTGTGACTTTCCTTCTGAAATGGCACCAGGAGTATTACAGCTAGCTGCTGCTACTGCAAATAACCACAGAAGTCCCTGTAAATAACTAATGATGAAGTGACAAACGTAAAGGTTTATAAAAATCTTGCTTGAATGAAACGTGTTAAAATACTGGAGATTAGACTGAGGACGGCAGCAATGGCACTTTGGTCTTGGTTGCTTTGAGACTAGCTGTTAGTTCTGTCAGATTTAAACTTTAATTACCCAAATTAAATTCAAAGAGATATCTACAACAGTTAAGATACTGTTTATACCACTTCCACAAAACCCTCCTTCAAAATGTTCTTAATATCCTTATTATTGAAAAGCTCTGTTAAGATGACTCTCCCCTCTCTAAACAAAACACACTTACAGAAACAGCTGTTTGCATAGAAACATTGACGGGGACCAAAATACAGTTGTTACCTCCAAAGCATGGCCTGTGGAGGAGGAGGAATGTACCGTAAATGCTAGATTAATCTTAAAACACGAAAAAAGTTTCCCAGAGAAACATAAACCCACACATAATCCTTTGATGTGTTCAGATCCACCCGCAACAGTCGGCAGTGTAATTTCCCTGAACGCAGACGACAGCAGGAGCTCAGAGTTTAACATTCTCGCATCAGTGTGGAGGTTTTTGTCAGACTGGCGTGTTCTCGTAGGGGAACAGGCGTCACTCTGAATGCTTTGATAACAAAGAGCCTGAGAAGTCGGGGCTCTGCCACAGGAAGTCAGTTTTTAAAGCTCAGATACGGCTCAGAGGGAGAACCAAAACTCAGAGTCGAGGAGCAGACAATGTAAGGCAGGAGCAAAACAGAGAACAGGAAGGAGAAAGCTTAGACTTTTGCTTCCTTTAAGTGACTCGGGGAGGCGAGATACAAATCAGAAGGTTTTGGATGTCAAAACAAGACCAAAGGGAATGCAGTCTTTAGCTAAGGTGCTGCCAGTCTGCTCACACGTTTATAAAAATGTTGAGGAAGTTGCAATTTGACTGAATTTTAATATAGATTAATTTTTCCCTCAACGATACTGCAACAATCCAGTTTCTTTAAAGGTATAAATACAATCTTGTTCTTGTTTCTCCATCTTCAAACATCCTTCCCATTTAATATAATTTCAGCTCGCCTGTCCGAAGTGCACGGTGATCGGTCTGTGGCCGTCCCAGGTTCGCAGCGGTCCCTCCCTCATGACTGCAGCAGTGGAGGACGTGATCCCCTCTGAGCCTTCATCACCGATGACCCCTGACCCGGCAGTGGACAGGCCATTTTCTAACTGCTCCTGCAAAGTGGGGACACAGGAGCAAGGAGGCAGACATGGGTGAAAGGAGTGATGGCACTGCAAAGGAAGGCGCTGTGTCTGAGGAAGCCGAGGTTGGGGTAGCGGTTCAGATTTTTATGTGTGTGGAAAACAAAGAACAGTGATACGTTGATGTCAGAGCTGATAATTCAAAGTTTTACATTTATGAACCTGGTTTAGCCTCTATCAAAACACTGTCAGAGCCAGGCCATTCAATGGATTTTACTGTAAACCTCAGTTTGATTCATTTTTATTCTCACTACCCTACACTCAATACCCCATAAAGACAAAGTAAAGATAGTTTTTTTTGTTTACTTATGTACTCAGATACACAAGTTAAAAAAATGTATATTATGTATTCAGACCTTTAGGATCAACTCAGTATTTAGAGGTAATTCTCATTTATCTTTATTACTTTATGAACTTTAAGTTAATTTGTGGTAAATTAAATTGAAGGACATGATACAGAAACACAACTCTTCAGGGCTTGTTTGTTCATTTTTAATTTTAAACATTCTCTGCAGGAATTCAGGCACTGCTCATCGCTTCAGTAAAGCATGGTGGTGGCAGCATCATGCTGTGAGGGGGACTGAACAGCATCAAGTGAATGCTGAATGACTGAAAAGGCCTCAAAATCTTGTCTCACTGTGATTAGACTAAAATTAAAAATCTGATAAATTTCAGTTTTCAGTTTGCCATGATGGGAACATAAAGAGTGTAGATTATTGAAGGAAAATTACTATTTAAACCATTTTAGCATCAGGCTGCAACATAACTGCATTTAAACCCACTGTTTGATAATAGAGGTTTACTCAGCTATCAATCAATCACAAAAACATCTGGATTGGGAGTCTGATCTGATCAATAGCACAACTAAAATGACCCACAACCGTCTGGCAGCGAAGCAGAGCTACATACCTTCTGCTTCAACCGGCTTTTGACTTCCTTGATACGCATCTTTGCATGGTCCTTAGCCTGTTGAACACAGAAAAATACATTTCCACTCTCATTTCTTCTAGTTTGTCAAAAACAAAGCAGGTCAAGAGGAAAGAAATAAAAAAGTAAGTTCATATTCATGTGATAAAATATGCATTATCAGGAAAAAAAACAAGGTCTTACCCTTGTTGATTTATTACAATCAAATGATAGCAGGGCCACTTGAGTTTGATGATAACTCAGTCATGTGATATTGTTGGGCATCATTTTGTCTGATTATGTAGAAAACTAATTTGCCTTTAACTTGTTCTTTTATTGGTGAGGCTCATGTTTTAAATTTAAACAAGAGATATGCTTACAAACTTGTAAACGGTCCTCATGGCTGGGTTTGCCTTGGTCTTCACTGTTTGGAAGATAGCGCCGCCCCCTTTCTGTTAGACAACAATTCAACTTTACTGGGTGAAAGCATTTGAAACATTATGACCCATTGAACATAAAACACACACTGTTGTGAGAAGATTTTTATTAAAACAATGTATTTAATAGTTTCACTGTTTGAAGTGGAACCACCTCACCTTCACAGTGAGCAGCCACTGATAGTAGGTCTTGTCACTGTCTGTGGGAGTAAAGTCAAACAGTCTGTCAGCATGTTTCACACTGGAGGACGTTCATTCAGTTGATAAACTTAAAAATGAATTTCAGCAACAACGGACAGACCCGGCTTCACTTATAGAGGATTTAGCAACACAGCTTTCTTTAAACTCGTCTCTTTTAGGAGTGGAGTTGTGTTGATTTATGTAGGCTGACATGTGCACCTCGTCTGAATTTTATGAGTCTCATCTCATTAACACGTCAGCAGCTTTAACTAAGTCTAACGTGAGGTCCTGGCTTTACTCTGAATAATGTTTCAAAATTTGATTTTTTTCCACCAGTCAGATCCATGACGCGACCTGTCAATCAATCCAGTAGGCGTGTCAGCAAATGACCAGTCTGAAGCTAAATGCTCCGTACCTGCAGAGAGCTGCTGCAGCCCATCGGAGCGTACCACCGTACTGTAAGCAGGTTCAAAGTCCTGATACTGATGATAATCTGATGCTGATGTGCTCACAGATTAACAATCCTTATTTGTAAAACCAATACCAGAGTATAACTTAACAAGATGCTCAACATTCTTCATTTTACCACAGTTAAAATGCAGTAAACCTGCTTTATGTGTTGGAGTTCAGATAATACGACTCATTTAGTTTAGGATTGGTCGTTTGCTGACACGCCTACTGGATTGATTGACAGGTCGCGTCATGGAGCAGACTCGTGGAAAAATAAAAAAAATAAAACGAGAGCTGCAAAAAATAAATAAATAAAATAAAAAGTCTCGTACGACTTTATTCTCGTAATTTTATGGCTTTACTTTTTTTTCTGCCCTACATATCCGTCGTAACAAAGTGATTAACTTGTGCGTGCGTTACTTAGCTCTGTTGCTGGGAGTTAAAATGAACGATAAATGAACAAACAAAACAAGAAGAAGTCTAGTCTTAATAGTCTCACCTGCGTATTCACCCATACTGATTTCCTCCTCAAAGATGTCATTGAAACCCTGTCCTGAGTTCAGCAGGTCCAAGCGACCATCAATAAACTGCATTCAGAAACAAATACAGGACATGTTTATTTTAGTTCATTTGTTTTACATTTACCTGTTAAATGTTAGGTTGATGCCTAAAGGGATAGTTCTGACATTTTGAGGTGACTCTTCGGAAAGGTTGTGAACAGTTACCATCTTTTCTGTTGCAGATAGCTTGTTGAACAATCTCATATCAGAAAAATGGCGTTTAGGTCTGAACGGACTGAACTACTGTCTGAAAACAGCGTCACAATCCAGCAGTTTTATAGAGCTTTGCAACACAGTCAAGTCTGCACATCTATGGGTATTTGCTAACGCAGCAGCAGTTAGCTGTAGCACATCTAGTGCAGCTGCTTTAAAGGCGAGTTGTTGATGAACAAACGGCTTGTTCGAGTGAACCCACTTCTAAACTGGATTCTTCTGTCATAAAACAACTCGAGACTTCAGAGTAGTTCAACCAAACAACATTAAAGATTATGACATTCTTGCAGGACGTGCCTCAGGCTGTACAGGAAGAGCTACAGCTAGCTTTTACTAGCTAGGTTTACTTGCATTCCCCGTTTAATTCCAGTCCCCCCCAAAAAACACTCATCTTAAACTAAAAAAAACATTCACTATTGAAATCCTTTAGCGGTGGGGGACTTTGGCGTAGCACTTGTTACAAAATGATATTGTTCACAGAGCTATCCACAACAGGTAAGATATTATTGTTCATAACTATTCCATAGAACCCCATATGACAGTGTCCAAATGTGAGCAGCTGTGTGCTGCACCTGTTTGAAGAGCTGCAGCTGAATGGCATTCTGAAGAAACTGTCTCATGGCACTGGAGCGATGATTGAGAAAAGTGTCCTCGTTGAACGTTATTGGTTCTCCCTGACATGAAACAGAACAGAACAGTTACAACACTGTGCAACTCTGCCGCTGAACACTTTCAATATTTAATATTCAAGAGTCCTGCAGACTTGTATCTGAGATTTGAGCTCATTAAAGTTGTTTTCACAAGAGATAGATTCCTGAGTGATAGACAACCATTACAAACTGGGTTTTTCATCTTGCTGCAGAACAAACTGCAATTATCTTAAATCCAAAAAGTAAAAAGAAAATCAGAAGCAAGTAAGAGATTAAAGTATCTACTTTTCTTACACACACACAAAGTATACAATGGTTGGATCTCTTTTTTAATAGAAGAATGCAGACTGATGAGGAGTAAGTTTAGTTTGGAGGAGTACGGACGATGTTCGCCCACATTTCTGCTCCCTACAGCCATCGTGTCGTGAGCTGGATCAGAAACTGACCGCTTCGATCTGCAGAGCGTTCCTGTAGCTGCCAAACAGAGCTGCCTGACTCTTGAGGAAGGCACGAGCCACACCGCTACCAGTTGTCGTTGAGACCTTCTTCAAACGGCTTTTTAAAGATGAAACCTGCAGGACACGAAGTCACGCTCGTATTCATGTGGGGACAGAGGCTTCGGTTTGATGCAACACCTCAACACTGAAACTCACCACATCGTTGGGCAGGCTTTGAAGGTCATCATACGGGGATTCAAGTGTATTTGTGTCCACGTTTAGGACTACCACATCATCCAGAGCCATCCCTCGAACTTTCTACAAGCAACAAACATGTTTTTTATAGTGACAATAAATAAACAACACAGAATGACTCAGTACGACAACAGGAAGGGTTAAAAGCAGACACCGTACTTTCCGCCGTACACGTCGCACCGCCTTATAAGTCGAATCAGTCCACGGAAGGACTTTAACAAGAATTTAACAAGATTAACACTTAAATACAATTATTTGTTTGCTCTAAATTATAGTAAAGGTGTGTCTCAGTCCAACTTTTGCTTAATAAATGCACTTTGACGGTCAAATCAGCTGCATTTCAAAAGCCGATTCGCAGAAGCGGGAGCGCGCAAAGGGATGACTCGCTGTGCATTTCTTCGAAATTTAACAAGATAAGCCCCTAAAAACAATTATTTGTTTGCTTGACATTAATTAGTAAAGGTGTGTCTCAGTTGAACTTTTATGTAATAAATGCACTTCAATGGTCAAATCAGCTGCATTTTGCCGGGGCGGCGCAGCGAAATGAAGCTGATTTGACGGTTGCTCCAGGCATGATCCCAGAGCTGGACAAAGGTGGCAGGCTATGGCAAGCCGATTGTGTCATTAATAGCCACGTTTACCTATTACATGATACAACGGCATGCCATACTACTGGAGTGCCATCTAGCGGCTGAAAATGGTAGTGTTCAATATTTTCAATGTCAGAATGAATGAAAACGGTCAGATCTCGGCCAAAAATTGGTTTATGGGGAGAAAAATAAATAAATAAATAAGTCGCTTCGGTGCATAAGTCACAGGGCATGCAAATTATGCAAAAACCTGTGACTTATAGGCCGGAAAATACGGTACTTAAAGTATGCCTCAAAGTTATAGAAACCTACCTCCATCAGGCTGGAATGTACTCCGATGAGGTAGGGCATCGGGGCACTGAGGGGAGAACAACAAACAGATCCACGATTCCTCAGAACACAGTGTGTGAGGAGTCTTGTTGTATGTTGCAGTACAAACTGCAAAAAGTGTGCAGAAGAGGACTGGGAGTGATGGCTAAAATGCTCACCAGCAGTAATCCAAAAGATGCTGAGGAAGGACGGGAATGTAAACGTGTTGCCAATGCATCGGAGACAACATGGCTGCAGACCCGTGGACACAAGCTGTTAACTGAGGACACGCGTCAAAAAACACAAGTGAAGTCTCAATTTCAAAGTTGATATTTAAGATTGTGGTTTCAAAGTGGATGCTTCACATCTTGTACAAAACATACTGTGAAATTCAAAAAGACAAAAAAAAAAAATCCAGGAGACTAAAACAGAGCTGCCAGGAGAAGAAACAGGAAGTGGAGTCTACTTACAGTGCTTAGTTTGCTGCAGCAGATGAGGATTCGGCGTTCGTAAAGCATACTGGCGTACAGATGGAGCATGTTGTTGACGTCTACGGCTACAAAGTACTCCGTTAGGTTTCTCTGCAAAGGGAAAACAAGAGAAAAATAAATGTTAAGAGTTAGTTGTAGTGGTAAAAAAATGTGATTCAGTCAGAAAATCCCATCATTCACAAAGTATCAAATATCTATTTCAATTTTAAGCTCAAAACTTTAATAAATAGAAGTAAACATTATTGTCCCTCAGTGGGGAAATTCAGGTGTACCAGCAGCAAAATGGCCAGCAAGTTGAAGCATGCAGCTTCACACGAAGATAAAAATATAAAATCAGAAAGTATGAATAAGAGACTGTACAGTAAGGGCAAATTAACAGCATAAGAAAAAATACTGTGCGGTTATTCAACATAGCATACTCGGGTTCAAAGAGATGTGAACTGTGCATGTGTATTTTTACAAAGAAAAACTGAAAACACAAAAGACTACAAGAAATGGAAACAGTGCAAGTGACAGCAGGGATGTAAACACACTGAGTGTGTTGTGATCGGTGATCATTAGAGTCTAACAGCTGCTGGGAGGAAGGAGCTGCGGTAACGCTGCTTAGAGCACCTGGGATGCAGTAATCTGTCACTGAAGGAGCTCTCCGGTTCTGAAACAGCTTCATGCATGGAGTGGGAGACGTTGTCCAGCAGTGTCGTTAACAGAGTTCTTCTGTCTCCCACCACCTGCACTGGGTCGAGGGGGCGTCCAAGCACAGAGCTGGCCTTCTTGATGAGCTTATCTAGCTTCTTCTTCTCAGCTGATGATAAGCTGCTGCTCCAGCACACTACACCATAGAAGATGTCTGATGCCACCAGAGTAAAAAAAAAAGTTCTTCAGGAGCACCCCCTGCACTCCAAAACACCTCAGTCTCCTCAGCAGGTAGAGTCTGCTCTGACCCTTCCTGTAAAGTGCATCAGTGTTGTGAGACCAGTCCAGTTTATTGTTCAGGTGAACACCCAGGTACTTGTAAGAGTCCACGATCTCGATGTCCACTCCCTGGATGTTCACCGGGGTCAGTGTGGTGGGTCTGCACCTGCAGAAATCCACAACCAGCTCCTTGGTTTTCTCTGTGTTGATCAGGTGGTTCTGCTGGCACCAGTCCACAAAGTCCTGTGTCCACTGTCTGTACTCCGAGTCGTCCTCATCAACTATGGCAGAGTCAGAGAAGTTTTGCAGATGGCAGCCCGGGGAGTTGATGGAGAAAACTGCAGTGTGGAGGGTGAACAGGAACAGTGCCAGCAGTTCCCTGCGGGGCCCCCGTACTGCAGACCCACCTGTCAGAGACACAGCCCCGTGTCCACGCATAGTCCAGTATCCACTGTGACGGGTGGTGGTCCTCTCCTGACAGCTCCAGCTGTCATTCAGAAGTCCAGGCTGGATGGTATTAAAATCACTGGAGAAATCAAAGAACATGATCCTCACAGTGCTTCCAGGCTTCTCCAGGTGGGTCAGAGCTCGGTGCAGGAGGTAGATGATGGCATCATCCACCCTGATGGATGGATGAACTGCAGCAAATCTAACAAGGACCCCACCAGGGTGCGTAGATGGTTGAGGGCCAACTTCTCAAGGGTCCTTCAGATGTGTGGTCTTCGACACTGGTACCACACAGGAGGTCTTCCACAGCTGTGGTACTTTCCCATGTATCCCATGATGCCACACAGTTGATCTGCGCAGCACATCAGGAGCCTGGAGCCGATGCCATCCAGATGTGCAGCCTTTCGCACCCTGATTTTTTGCAGCTCGTTCCTCACATGAAGTGTTGAAAGGGCCAGGATGGTGGTGGGGGAGGGGGCAGTGGGATGGAGTCCTCTGAAGCAGAGGTGGGTGATGGCTGAGAGCTGAGAGGTGTGGAGTTCGGGGAAGAAAAGATGGCAGTCGTCAAAAATGTGGGGGTTGCATCAGGGGTGAGTGTCTGATCACATCTGCTGAAGAACTGGTTTAGATCATTTTCCCACCATAAAGAACCCAGCAAACCCATGCAAAGACCAACAGTTGACTCGAGGTTAAATGGTTGCAGGACTTTCGTCCTTGTTATCTTTAAGAATCTTTTTCTTTAATAAAATCCTGAATTATGAATCACTGATTTGTTTTCTCTAAAATAAAGTACATCAACTGGTATCTCTACATTTATACTCAAATTCTGATGTATTTTGTAAAATATTTAGAAACTTTAGTTCAGGATTCTTTGTTGTTTTGGTTAAAATATGCATCCTAAGACCCAGGGTTGAGACTGGTCATCCTCCAGTGGGTTGACTTACTGCAAACAGCTGGAAAAGAGAAATCTCTTATTTAGATGAGATGAAGATCGTTTGGACACACTGAACCTTCTGTGGAACAGGTTTTGTGTAAGAAATACTCTAAAGAGTAAAATCTATTTCTGCCTTTCAAAGCTAATCAGGAAATTTCCTCCATGACTGAACTTGGCGAGGTCGTTTACGGCCGAACGTCAGAGACCTTTGACCTTGTTCTGGAATGACTCCCATCAGGAGGAATGAAAACACTCACATTCTCGGGAATGCTGGGGAGTTCCCTCGTGTCAGGCACAGTGAAGAAGGAATGCTGGGGAACACAAATAAGAGTCTGAGAAGCTGGCATGAATCAGAGAAAAATTAAAAACACGACTTCCGTTTGATAAACGTCTAATACAGATGTGCGTCAGATCACACAGTCTGAGACATTACAGCCTACATGTGAGAACAAAAAGGTTTTTAGCTTACATAGGTGTTCAGCTGTGTGTGTTGTGATAAACATAAGCTCACCACTCCAAGGTGAACGGGGACTCCAGGCTCAGGTATGGGGAGTGTGTGTAGGGACACCAGGAGCTCCTGCCACTGGCTTTCCTGAAATATTACAGTACTCTAAATCCATGCAATGGCAACACAAATGCTTTTTTTTTTGTAGGCAAAAGAGAGAAATTTAGCTGAGTAGTGTGTACAAAAATTAGCATGCGGTCAAAGAAAACAAACAAAGTTTGTGGAACGAGTCCAAATATGACAGATTTATGTGAAACTGACAAGTTCTTCAGAAACTAATGTCAAGATCAGTGAGAAAACATGGAAAACCTTATCCAGATCTGGAAATAAAAAAGATTCAGTAGTCCCTCACTACTTCGCAGTTCGTTTTTAACGGACTCGCTCTATCGCGGTTTTTCAAAATAAGATTGGACATGACACACAACTGGCTGATTGATGGATGAGCCACATGATCAGCATGGAATTTTATTTTAAATAAATTGTTTTAAATTATTTAGCACCTCTGTGCAGCCCACAGCTGTAGCAGAAGCTTCCTCCTGCAGCTGATCAGCTGATCTCTATGCAGAGCAAAGTGGGCGTGGCTGAGAATAAAGCTGGAGGCAGGGAGCTGAAACCATGACATTCTGTTCTCTTTTAGAGTGTTTAGTTTAGAAACATTGTTTAGAATATTGCAAGAGTGTGGGGTTTAAAACACCTTAATATGCATATATATATATATATGGTAAATCGTAGTTTTAGTATATATATATATATATACTAAAACTACGATTTACCACTTGTACTACTATTCCTACTTTGTGGTTTTTCACTTATCGTGGGGCTTCAGGGTACGGATCCCCCGTGATAAACGAGGGACTACTGTACATTCAAAGATTTTGGGTAAAACAGGGATTAGATCTTACAAACACAAACTAATAAACAACAAGAGTGCGTTTGAAGTTTCATTAATTAGAAGTTATTGCACGGACAAGAGAAAGTTTACGGACGTACAAACAGAGACTAGTATCATAACGCGTCCACCGTTTAATGGGCAAAAGATAAAAAGAGTTTAAGCAAACAGAACCGCCTGTTGCTACTCACCTGGCCTTTGATAGAATAATCTGCAAAGATATTTAGTAACTTGTAGAAGGCTTCAAACCAGGGCAGATAGCTGGAGGACACAACAGAGTGTACAAATTAATACTTACACTAAGTTTAGTTAATGTGAAACAAACAGCACCTGGAATAAAAATGGAGTCATTACATCAAACCCCAAAAACAAATCTCAGGTATGACATAAAACTAATCAATTTTCCATTTAAATATTTAAGTTTTTTGTGAGGTACACAAAAATTAAATTAATATACTAGTATAAATTACAATAATTTGTCATTTGAATGATCAACACGGCTTCAACAGAGTGTGATAAAACACGTAAAGTACGGAGCAGCCCTAAACAAAACAGGAAATGCTGTAGAAGTGAAACATACGGGTGTGAGCAAGGAAGACGTTAAGCCAACAATTTTCAGTCAGGTCATCTGGACAGTTTATTTTTTTTTGTGTGCTGAAACGTTTCACCTTCCATCCAGAAGGCTTCAT